CCCCTGCCCCCCCCCCCTCAGGATCAGCCACTGTTTCAATTGAGCACACATCTTTGTATTACCTTATTGCCTTACTTCTTTTAAATGCTGGAATGTCTTGACAACAAACAATATATGCTCGTATTGAAATGAGACATGGGGGTAATGTTGAAATGTGATTTCACTAAAATTACATTGCAACTACGTGTTACTTACACGTGCTACTTACAGTCCGTACAACACACCTACCTGCGCACATAGTTTGCTGACTTTGTTTAATGGGCCCATAATTCGGGCTGAAGTTGTAAACTCCTCCTTGTCGGCTAACTTCGGGTCACGTGACACCCATGCAACAAACGGGAGATTCCAATAAGAAGCGAGATGTCCAGTCGGAATTGCAACTGTAATTATAAATCGACAATTGGGATTTGTATAAATGTCGTAATTACATAGTCAAATACCAATAATACCTATTTTCACCACATGTATCACGCAAATTCCATGCGATATAAGGCCATTTAATAATGTCAATATCACATTTTCAATGACACAAAGCATGCTCGGACAGTGATTGAGAAAAAACAAATTCATCTTTACATTGTCGTCAATGTATTGGGTCGTTAAATTAGACACAGACGACCAACGCTCCACGCACGTTCTCGCCTTGTACTTCAGTAGTGTGGAATCATTTCTGTGTTTTGGGATAATTTTTGACGCATTTTGCAATTAAATTAGGGTTTTGTTTATAATTACATATAATTCACGCGTAATCTGCGTCTTTCAAATACGTTAGTTAAAATAATGTATACATTATACTCCTAATATACTCCTAAAATATATTTAACGGCTCTGCCACAAGTGAACATATAGTAAATTAAAACTAATTATATAATTTGCATTTACAAAGTGATGACAGAATCTCGGTCGTCATTTTTACCTATATGACTTTTTTTCAGAACCTTGTTTCCGATGGATTGTATTACCATGTTGCAGGCGAAAAAAAAAATATTTTTTAATGTCTGTTGTATACAGGATTGTCCAATTCGATGCTTTCAGAAGTCGTACCCTCAAACCTCACTCTAGTAATACACTACTGGTACAACAGTGATCGAACTGTACAACGATGCGTGCTCGGAGTAAATCCATAAAATCCGAATCGGTCTATTCTTTAGGAAATGGTACGATTTGCTGCGACCTAAACTGGGTTTTGCTTCAGGTTTTCTCAAGGGATTGTAAAATATTCACAAACGTTGATTATTATGCGTCACCACTCACTTCCAGATGTGGAAACGATTGAGGAATATAAGTATTTTAAAAGCAAAAGATTGACTTTTCACCTGAGTGTATATCTTCAGGAAATATAATCGGGACACGTAGACATGTATGAGTTTATTCAATCATGAAAAAACTCGTTCGTAATACTATCACGTTACATCTTGAGCTCTACGCGGCTCCCGGCAAGAATATTAGGTATAAAGCTACGATCTCGTGTGCACGTATAGCGCAAAGCGTGATACGTGGCGCGTCTTGTGCAATGCCTGACACGTTTTATGCAAAGCCTGGAGGTGTTGCGCAATGCGTTGTGCGCATTCGCAGGTCCGAAATTCGTTCAATCGTAGTAGATGACAGGTTCTGTTCGTACCATCGATTTATGGGATAAATAAATATGTACCAAATGGTATATGCTCCGTACTTTCCTAGTACAGTTGACTTAATACACATATAGTGTTCTGTTCCAGTCAGTGATAAATATATACATATAGGTTATACTTTTCATACAGGGATCTTTTAGCAGTGGGGAAACCCCTTCGAGTGACGTCATAGTGGGAATTCCCCAGCGCAAATGTGTCAATCGATGAATACGCACAGCATTACGCACCACGACGCACTGCGCTATCCTAGACAGATTTATATGCAATGCGCTTCACATAATACGCGTGCGCAGTATGTGTGCACGGGCTTACCTAAGGAACAGGGCGCTCCAACGAAGAAGTCGACGTTCTCAATGTACCTTAGATCTACAACCATGCCTGTACCAATTCGTGGATTGCAATTAGCAAGTACCCACACCACACTGCCAATGAAATAATATAGTATGTTAATTAATCAGATATATTATTAGGCAGAGCTTTGCCACAAAACTATGTTGCCGGGACGTGCACCACCTAATGTGATTAAAATCTATCTAATTCAGATCTAATTGGAATTTTTTACATTTTTTTTTTATTTCAATTATCATTTTTTGGGAGGGTGTGATATATATATTTTTTTCTGATAGGGAAAGCCCGAAGATGTGAAGGATCTCCTAAGGAAGATCTCGTTCAACACTCGCCACCTTAATAACCGATCAGAGAAGGCTTGATATACAGCCATGGTTGGACTTTAACGCTTGCGCAATCATTGTATACAACGCCTTCTCTGATTGGTTGATTAATCTGGTTGTTTTAAGATCTCACGAAGATCTTCTGATTTTTGAGCGTTCGCAGTTAGTAAAATAAATAATAGAATTAAGAAAATTTGACTAAAAACTATGAACAAAAAGATCTGATTATAATCAGATTGCTCAACTTGAAATACTATACCATGTATTTCTATGGGCTCTGCGCAAGCTGCTGTGGTACGCCGCTTGAAGAGCTGCACAGGTGAAAACAGCGAAAGTCGATAAAACAGCTCAAACTCAACTTTGAAGTAATCCTGAACAACCAAATTTATATATGTGTAGGGGTAGTCTTGTTACACTATTTGGGATATTCTAAACAACGAGTCAAAGTACAGTTTTCTGATCGATTTCGTTCTTTATTTTCACCCGTGGTGGTTGCCAGGGAAATTCTCTAATACAGTAAAACCATTCACTTGCATTTAATTTCACAATTCTGATGCTTCGAGCAATTTTACTGGGTTTTACGTTCACGGATTTAGTAGGAAAACAATGAGTTCTATTGTTATTTTAAATGTTTACCCCGATTTAATTTAGCGAATTATACTTATAAACGAAAAAAATGAATATTCAAAAGCAATTAATAATTAATGCGTTTACAGTACCCACGTGCACTGATTGGTCTGGTGCGTACAATAACAATCAGTGCACGTGTACATTAGTTTGTTTGTTTTTTATTTCATGCAAAATTTGGCATCATTGCTTAGCGTATTGTCGTTATATGAAAACCATCGATCACATTGTGTTTTTATTTGCTGGAGAGCCTGTTTAAGGACCCACCTATCGTTAGACTATATTTTCCCATTAACGAATATTTTCTAATTCGCTCTTATCGCGGACATTTCTGACTATAATGATAGGTTTAAGATGGGCTCACCACACATCGTGAATTACAATACCTCTCATTTGTTCCATTGAACATATATCCTGTCCATCATTAATCAGTCTATTGCAGTTTGCTAAATATCTATCGTTTTGTGCTATTGGACAATTTGCTATTTGAATTGTGAGGATGACCATCTGACTTTCGATTTGTATATGTTGGTTATTTCTACGATATCACATTATACTTTAACCCCTCCCCTCCAATCCCCTCCCTTCAAACAGATCTCCACCCATGGAAGGTACTAACGGAAGGTACTCCCCGTTAGTACCTTCCATGCTCCATCTAAATAGACAGATGAGTGAATAAATAAACAATATACATATATGTTAACATTTTCATCTTCACCTCTTGAAGGACATGATAAACTTAAGAGAATCGTGACATGCGTGATTTTCAAACCAAACTGCCGCAATATGTAACACATAATTGTTCAGAACACCTCCGACACGTGTTGTGTTTGTCCAATCACAGAAGCCGGTGAAAAAGAAAACGAGCGTGACAATTTAATGATTTATTAGTTAGTGTGTGCGCGTGAATGTATGAATACTCATCACTGTATTTAAATAATGTATGTGATCGGACGATACCGTGACTTGTTGGCGTCAAATACTGGGGAAAACGCGTGATATTGATAGAAGCAGTTTGGATATTTTTTTATGAGCACGTAGTTACTCATTTTCACCACGGCATTCCATGAATACGCCGACATTTGCTGAAATATCGCCATGCTAGCTTTGCAATAATGCCTGAAAACCCATTCGACTTCACAACACTTGTTCTTCTACTATTCTCTTCCGTGAAAACATACGTTGCAGCTCATTTTAATCTGTGTTGGAATCAGTTCGTTATGGTTACTATGTCGAATATATATAACGTAATCGTACCTCCTTGACATTTATGTCGCAACCTTTTTATTGGAAGACAAAAACTATGATTGTTTTCTGTAATTTATTTGTCTTATTCAGTGTGCGCAAAGGTTTTATCGAAGTGGTTGTTTTAAACAGAAAAACGTAAACACTATCACCAAAATCGGGAAGTTTTCATTTGAGATGTAAATTATACTACCATGATAAAAACAATATCATTACTCTCATGGATACCATACAACCAATGTGCTTTCTAATACCTACTCGACCAATTAATTCAGTGGTGAAAGTGATTTGGCAATAAGTCTTATTAAAACTAAGTGCTTATTTTGTTTTTATGAGAATCAAAAGAAAAAAATACTTCTTCTTTGTGAACTGTGATAAATAAAATTTCATGATTTGACCTGTTCAAGATGTAATTATTTAAATCTAATGCGCATGTATAATGATTAATCATTGGGTGTCTTTAGATAGAAAGGATTTGAAGGGATCCGATTGGCTACCGCTTCTGGGGCACGTGTGTGAGCATGCGTAGTGCCAACATTTCGTGCAAAATATGTATGATGGTATTCAAACCTTGATTACCAGACCCCCTAAGGATACGGATTGTTTGCATCGAACTTAATCTGAATACATTTTGTTATTTTACTCACCACTTGGATTTCCAAGTTTAAATTAATGAGTCAAAACAAAGTACTGTCTAGACGAACGGTTCTGCGCATGCGTCAACTAAAGTAACATCGGAACCGGGCGGCTCAAAAAAACAGAAGAAATTTAACCCGCCGAGAGGAAAATACGGAAGTAATATGTCACCGAGGGTTGGCATGAAAGCAGATGGAGCAAAGGGAGCCGAGAAACAGGACAGGACGAAAGTGGACGAAATGCTATCGGCATCCAGTGAAAGTGCGGAAGGCCAGAATCAAATAATACAAGATGGCGACCTCCAAAAGGCAATGAAGTTATCCAGTAAAGATCGGTCGGAAATGATGTTGAGATTGCTTTTCTCGATAAGGGAGGCAGTAGACAAGATTGAACCTATGAATCGGCAGATTGAGGAGACAAAACATAAAGTCTCGGAATTAGAAGAATCATTAAATCATATCTACGAATGGGTAGAGGATATCGAAAAAAGAGACCGCAGCGGGGAGACACGTGA